AAAGCAGCAACATATTGCTGACAGCAAGGGTGGCGTTATTAAAGGAGACGAAAATGCTGCGCGAAATCGATTCCTCGCGCCTTTCCTATACGCCCTGTCGCGTGCGTGTGTGACTGTGTGTGTGTGTGCGTGTGTGTGTGTGTGTGTGTGTGTGTGTGTGTGACTGAGTCAGACTGTGCCAGAGCCCCGCATAGTTAGGCAGTGCGCCAAGCACCCTGCCCAACTAATGTCACGCAACATTCGAATGCTAGCACATCCAGCGTGCACATATACAAACGTTGTCCTTCGCAGCTATAAAGTTTTTTATTTATTTTCCCAATCATTTTGTTCCCTTGGAAGTAGATAGAATCCCAAATATTTTTTAAGAGAAGCGAAGCTTTCTGTAAGTTCCCCAGACCTTCTTGTACTTAGGATAGGAAGTGGAAGTAAATCCCCAATTTGTGTTATTGATGTAAATGTACATACACAACTACAACCACTGGTTTCAATTGGAGCCACAAGCTCACCCTGCCCCCGAAGGAAGCTCACTACAAGCTTACTAGTATACTAGTAAATTATTATACATGATTGGATCTGAGTACATTTCTTTTTTAACTTCTTGAAAAATCACAATTATTGTACGTTGATGAGCAGAAACCCTTTCATGAACAAAAAAACAACAACAAAAAACAGCAAAATTAAACTGAAGCGAGAGGAATTGTTTTTTCATCCTGAGTTTTGCTCATCCCATTAGAATTTCGCACAGACGGGGTTTAGAACCGCAGTGACCCACTACACTTCGGAAATGTCATTGGCCATGCACGGTGGTTGACACTTGCAAATTACGAACGACACATCGACAAACACGAAAAACACGTTCAAGCGTCGATGTTTTTTCACGCAAAATCACAAAACAAATATAAACTAGTATCCAATAAACGGCGATAGGTGAGGCTGGGAAGTCTCTTGTCCTGGATGCACACGACGCACTTGGCACGAGGCGCACTCTCTCCCTCTTTCTCTCACACACACACAAGCACTATGCGACGCACCTTGAAGGGGTCCATGACGAGGTCTGCGGAGGGGTCCACACGGACTGTGAGCGGGGCTGCGGGGCGCGGCGCCTTATAACACCTCGCGCGCCTCGGCCCACCCCGCCCGGCCCCCACCGCGCGCGCCCTGGCCCCACCACAGCCTCCAGGGGGGGATTCCAGGACTCCAGGGGCAGCCGCAGGGGCCGCTGCAGCCAAGGGGTCGTACTTCACTCAAAAAATATCAGTGCAACACCCTCCAAAACAAAATAACAACCAATCGATTCGCAAGGGAAATAATAATGAAGACAATGTTTAAAAATCAGAAAAAATAAGAGAAAATCACAGAAAATCGCTTGAAAAATCAATCGAGCAAAACCAAGAAAAAACTGAAAAACTGATTCACGCTTGAATTTCCAGTGAAGTACCCCTCGGGCGGGCCCTCCACCGCACTGAGAACCTGCTTCGCAGGCGGCAGGCGCGGCGGCGAGGGAAGGGGGCTCCCGCCGGGCTCCGCGCACCGCACTCGCGTGGCGCCCTCCCCTTCGCCCTCCTGGACGTCTGGACGAACATCGTTAGGCTAATTCATAGACACCGTGCACGCAGCAACAACATGTGTTACCACACGGCCGCCCATGAGAGCAGCGTGTAAGTGCTCCCAAGCGACCCTCCCGGTCCTGCGGCATCCATAGAGGAGCATGGGCGAGGCTCCGCTATAGGAAGGCGATTGGAGGGCGCCGACGACGCTTACTACTTTCTGCAGTAGCATAACTGTTATGCTCCATCGAGACGGATATGTGGGGAGAACCACATTGGCACCGTGTAACCAAATAAACGGCGACAGGAAACAAAATGAAATGCTTTTTAAAAGTATAACAACAACAAAAATCAACCCAAATCATAACTCACTGGTGAACTGGCAGAAGGGCGTAAGTCCGAAAAAAGCAACTTTTTTTTTGTTTGAAGGTATTTTGCCGGAAGGACTATATATCGTGAAACTAATTTTCAGTTTGGACTTACGCCCTTCTGCCAGATCACCAGTGAACTAAATTAACAGTACAGAATCATTTAATCTACGCAAACAAAATTGCCATCAGTGAAAATATAATCACTCTCATTTCCTTACGGACTCGCTTACGGATAATTTTGTGCAACCGTAATGTGGATCACATTTTATCTGTAATACGGATGAAAACAACCGTAATATGGACAATTTTATCCGTATTATCAACACAGCTTGGTTCGTAAGTTACGGAGAAAAAATATTCATTTCTCCATAAGTGACGAACCTAGCATTGTTGATAATACGGATGAAATCATCCATATTACGGACCATTTCATCCGTATTACAGGTAAATTTGATCCATATTACGCTTGCACAAAATTAACCGTAAGCGAGTCCGTAAGGATATGAGAGTGATTGACCAGTTTTAATTTTGTCCCAGACCAGACAAACTTTGTGCTGGCTTCCTTCCTAATTTTTTCCCGTCATATTGCGTACGGTCACTCAGACTGCTCAGACTGCCCCCCTCTCCTTACTACGCTCCCCTTCCCCATCTCACTCTGTGTGTGAGCGCCACGCGGCACCACCACGCTGCCCGCCCGCCAGTGTGCGAATCAGCTCGTAAAGACTACGGCCCTCTCATTACACTCACCCAGGTCGTCAAACGCTTTACAGCTTTCATAATTAAACAACAGTCAGGTGCCATTATTCGCAGATGGGGGGCAAACGTTAAAATTATCGCCGCTTGCCTTTTCTGCATATACATAACTTGTGTTTTTTTGTTTGTTTTTTACACAGCTTGCACATTTTCTTCATGCACCTTTGTAAAATAATAATTACTAAACCACATGCTCATTGCTCATGCCCTCACTAAGTAACTACGATGATGTCTACGAGACGAGTCTATGATGATTTCTGAATTCTAAAGTGAATGCTGCGAGAAACAACACAACGGAGAGGGTGGGCTTAGGTATAGGACGCAACTTCTCGCCCCGGCAAACTAAGTCGCCCCAATTTTATTTTCATATATACGGGGCGTCCGCGCCTGCGAAGCTCGGGGTAGGCCACCCCGCGGTACACGCATGCACTGCAGGCGATATGTTGCCTACCCACCAGGCGCTATGAGAGCTAGCATAAGCTGAACTTAGCAACTTTGAAATGGCGAACGACGGACGTACTTGGTTTCCGAGTTGGGACCTTACCTATTCAGCGCAACTTTATGAATAATCGACCGAGTTTTCCCACTCAATGTCATCATAGTATCTTCAGTGAAAATGCCGCGCGCACAGCACTGATCAACCTCGTCTAGCCAGATGAAAATTTTACTATTTTTCACTCACAGGCACTAGTCAGTCATAATGTGGCAACCCTGAAACCCCCCGGCACTCGACTAGGAATGTGAAGAGAACTTGCCTCCCGTCGGGTGCGCTATGCTATGCGGCCCGGCAGCGGCTGTACCCGCGCTGCTCCGACACATATTGTTTTCTTGTCGGCCGGTAAAAATCACATCCAACTCGTTAAAAAAGGGGTAGAGGAGAGTGGGAGGGAAGAGGGGGTCGGGGGGCACGTATACGCAGTGGCCAGCGGGCCAAAGCATGCATATGATATTCCAGGGTGTTTCTCCATTGGCATTGTTGCTCCAGGCGCCCTCCCCCGGCCCGGCTCGGGTTGCCCACCGCTGTGCAAATGGTGTATGGCCGCCACAACGAGCAGGACGGTCGTCGGGGCCACGTGGACCTAGGAGGCGAGATATAACAACAAAATCTAGACCATATGACTGCAAGACAGCTACTTTTTCAAAACACGGTAAAAAAAGTCTGATTTTTTTGAGGAGGAAACTCTGACCAAAACTCCTCAGATTTTGAGGAAGTCTCCTCAACAGTTTTTGAATTTCTTTCATTTTTCAAAAAGAGATATCCTCAAAATCTGAGTCTGACGACTTTTCTTTGGAACAATACAGGATTTGCTCAAAGTTTTCCTGAAAAATAAAGAATAATCAGACATAGTTTTTACCGTGAACCTCAACTGGCCTCACAATAACTACCGCCACGGCAAAAGATGTAGCCCAATAAACTTAAAAAACTTGACCCAACCTGATCTAATCTGACCCCCATTGTCGGGCCGGTCGGGCCGAGGTGCCACCGCCGTGCCGCCGTCCGGTGCAGTCTGTGCAACACAACGCACCCGGAATGGGCGCGCGAGCCGCAAGCGCTGCACTTGCGCGCACTTTTTCGTTACAAAGTCTCCTATATTTTTCCACGCCTGCACCACAACGGCACAGGTCGCCCACCCCCCTCCCCCGCCCTGTGCCCGACCGTGCGAAACGCATCGTGCGTATCACGACATTATGATTTTCTAATCGAGGCAAAGTAATATGGGAACTATGCGGGAGCTGGAGCAACGCCCGCGGCGTGCGTGGACCAAGGCACGCGGCCCCGTGGTCGACCCGGCGCCGACCCCTGCCCTGCTGGCCCGGGGGCTTACAAAGTACCCGACCGATCCGAGTACAGTTTGTCAAGTACTCGGCCGATCCGAGGAGTTTGTAAAGTCAAGTACCTGCGGCAGGGCAGGTGGCGTTGACACTCCTCGCATGGTTCCGGCCGGTATCGGCGACGTCTCTCTCTGCCAGCGCGCCTGTCACCGGCGGGGTAGGCAACCGGGTGATGCACGGCGACGCGACGGGCCTGCATCTCCCCCGCCCGGTTCTCTCCACTGCGGGGAAACTTTTCGGGATTTTCATTTTTTTCTGGCTGCGAAAAGCAGTATGGTGGTCCATTCGTATACTAAATGGACATTAACCTCGGAGTTTGGCTTAATCGAAAGGGCTGTCGTTTGGGGACGATTACGACATGTAAAAACACAAACGATTACAGAAAAATGATTTCATGGAACTGTACTGAACAATTGTTCCAGAAAGTTGATGTAACCGTTACCAGCGCCATACAAAAAATTGCCCACAAGATAGAATTTTTCCCCTTTTCTGACGCGCTTGTGACCTTGCGCCGCGCCACACACGCGTGAAACGGCAGTTTAGCGGTTTTGCACCTCCTCCTCCTCCTACCCCGTGAGGTACAGCCAGGTCGGGGCGTCTGTGTCTGGCTGTCCGTCTGCGATGTCTATCAGCGCCACGGGTGGCTGCGCCGTGCTGCGCCGGGCGGCGCGGGGCTCCGTTTAACCGCACTCGTTTTCGCGGCCCGCGCGCGATCCTTGTTGTTCTCTCCGCCAGACTGGCTGAAATGCCCCGGGACCGCCTACATGATGCTCCTCGCGATGCTGGTCGCGCGGATTCCCCCACGTTTATTGCCCCGTCGATGCGCGAATAAAACTGCCCCCGCCGATGCATAAAAAAAAGCATCCGATAGTTTTATTTTACACCACGAGTCGACCGAAACAACAAAAATTGTTACCGCATGATAATTAATTTTCCCAGCCCGCTCCTCTCACAGCCGGGGCACTCGAAAGTGGTGCAAAAGCTGCTGCTGCTGCTGCGGCTGTATGAGACGAACGAGATGCATTTCCCTCCGGTTTTTGTTTTAATGCGCGTGTTTGTGCGCACCTTTTGCTGATGCAGGGAAGGGCAGGGCCAGGGGCCGGGCTGGAGCGCCCCCTCCCTCCTCACCCTTTCCCTTCCCCTCTCCTCCACTCCCAAACAATACAACAGCGATGGTATTGTATGTATCTCTTTTTCGGGATGGGAAGCAACAGAGGAGGCCCTGGCGGCGGCACGCGACCTGATGCCTTTACATCAGCGGCGTGCGCACCAAAAGCCCTCCTCATTATAAACGCGGCCGTCGTGTTGCCCCCCCCCCCCTTACTCCATTTTTCCACGCGCATGCTCACCGCCACCGCACCCACACACACAGGCCTTTTGCTCCAAGAAATTAAGAAAACATTTTCTAATCGTCAAGTAGTAGTAGTAGTGTGTCTTAATGGCAGGGTGCGTGTGTGGTGGGTGCGCGCGGAAGTAACGACGGACACGAGCGTGAGAGGCGTTCCTATCAAGCTGAAGCAGCAGCCCTAATACCGTGGACGCGAGAGCATGGCGATAGAGGCCCTCCTGCTCTCTCTGTCTCTCTTTCTCTCTCTCGC